TGTTTATTTTTTTACATTTTTATTAAAAATAAATTTATGTTGTTGTTTTTGAAAGAAAAACGGGCATATTATATTAAATCAAAACTCACAGTACAATAAGGAGAATTGCAAATAATATAGTAACCATCCGACAATAACCTCCCTCTAAACAAACATAACCATAAGCCACCAGTCCCCTCACTTCTTTATCAGGCATAGAGCAGTCCATCTCAAAACGAGTGCGACTAATCACTGAAAAATGTGAGAGTTTGAGACTATTAGCGGTTGAATCAGTCTGATTGTCTCCCAACAGAAATCTAGAAACTAATGTAAACCAAACTTTTCTTTTTATTTCAGGGGGCGTCTGGGGGAGGGGGTGTGGGTCTGGAGTAATCAGGGTTGAAAGTCACTCCATTGAGTTTCAAGCCCTTATATGCCTAGCGAGTTTCGATCTTGAGACCTCTCACTAGACACGGTAACCTCACAACTAGCTAGGCTGGAATGCTTGGTTACTAATGTAAACCAAACGAAGAACCTACCACCCTTATTTTTTGAGCTAATGAAAACAAAATAAAGATTAGCAAATAGAAAATAGCAAACATGGATAAGCTTCAGCGGGTGAAACAGCAAAATCCATTATTCAAACGTTGTCCTACAGACCCTAGTCACGCAAATCCTCTGTGGTGGCGGTTCAGGTGCGGGACAAATCAACGGCATATCATCCTCTTCCTCCGCCACTTGAGGCGGTAAAAACAACCGCGTGGATCCCCCAACAGTCGATTCGATTTGAGCCCAAAGTCGCCCCCTTTAACCGAGACCCATACCACCAACGTTCCACCCGGATAAAAAACAATTGGTGCAGCTCCCATCTCAGTCACCATTAGAACTAAAATAGCCAAACCAAGCATATGAAAATCGGGTCTCGCAACTCTAGTCGACGCAGATCCACAATCCCCTTCGAAACCACTGAAAGTCATTGACACCAATCTAGAAAACAAACAAATCCACACTCTTCTTCGTCTATGGGTATCTTCCGCCCCTTATTGTCGCCTGACTAGAGCCGTTGTCCGGCCTAACTTCCGCCTGCAAACTGCCACAGACCAGAGTTGTTGCCCAACCACTCACAGCACCTGTCCAAACTTCTGAACAGAGCCGTCGTGGGGAAACACAGCCGCCGTCCGCCCAAAATCCCCTAGACTCCACTAGACCCTTCCGCCTTTATCACCTTCCACCAAACCGCCAAAACCTTGCCTTAATACAGCCACGGTGAAGATGTTACAACTCAGAGAGAGGAAGAGACCGTCTGCCGCCCCTTCTGGGAGATTCCGATCGGCGGCGCCTCTAAGGTTCCATCATCGCTCTCTTCTCGACCCCATAATGAATACGTATCATACGATTTAAACTTAATAAATTTATGTTGTTACTTTTATGTTTTAATTATTAACAAAATATGAATTGTATTAAAACAAAGTAAGGGTAAAATAAAAGCCTAATCTTATTTAGGGAATTTGAAAGTTATCGTCCTATTTTGTCAATTAAAGTTTCATTTAGTCATATTTAGGGAATTCCCCCTTTTTGTGAAAAAGACAAAAACAAATTATGTGTGATACAAACAAACAAAAAATTCTATTCACAAACAAAATATTGCGCGTGTAAACAGGGTGTATACAACACGACGTTTACTAATAGAAATTTTCTTTTAAGGGGTGTTTAAATCTACTTTTTAAAATTGTTTCTCCTCATTCATAGAGTAGAAGCAAATATTGGAGTGTTTGAAGGGACCTAGAGAAGTACTTCTAGGTGCTCCAAATTCCTCATAAAAGCAGTTTTTTAGAACTTGGGGAAGACAATGTTATGAAAATTTGATTTATTTCTACTTTCAAAAAAGAGGCAGAACCAGAATCAGTTTCAAACACTCTCTTAATCATATAATGTTTCTCATTGCTTCTATTTAAGAAAACGATGACTTTTTAAATGATCATAGAGAAAGTGTTTAATACGTAGTACGAGCAATGAACATTCATATTATTTAGGGAAAAGGGGCAAATCCCCCCTTAAAGTTACGTCTAAAGGGCATTTAAGCCCTTATACTTAATTTTGGAGCAAAAAACTTCCTTTTCCATTAAAAGAGGGCATCTTCCCCCTTCTCTAACGATGAGCATACGGAGTAGTTAACAGCACCCTCGGTCGGTTGAGAACTTGTGGTAAGTGCAATTGTGAAGCATCCGAAAAGATGTCACTCTTGTTGTTATGGCATGACCATAAAGGTCAGCAAAGATAATGTAGCCCCCTGGGGTCGTGTAGACGCCCGTTATCATCACTATAGAGATAAACTCCGAAGCCATGGCTTGAAAATGTTGGTGATTCTTATGTTGCAACAGCAGAACTTCCTTCCAATCATTGGTCTATATCTGTAATAGATGAGCCCTGTGGAAGTTCTCGCGGGTCATGAAGACCTGCAACTGACTCAAAGAGTGCGTATGTGTCCTAGAAAATTTCAAAACATTTGGGAGTGAGTAACTAGACACGACGTGATCAATGAAAGTTCAATGGCATGGGGCTGAGGCCACTGTAGTCAGTATCACTTGCCTCGGAAGGAAACAGTAATGAGAGATGCGGTTCCCCGTGAAGTATGATTAAACACATGTCTGTTGGGAGACAAGTGAGTGGCCTTGCGTAGGGTTTAATCATGCACTGTTGGACAAGATGCAGTGACTTCTACCCGGGATCTGATTAAATCAGTCCTGAACCTATTTGGGAATTGTTTAGAGTATTTGAGTGGCTAGGAGTAAATGTTCAATAAATAGCAGGCAGTTGAGGTAGCAGACTCATCATTGATTATTGTTTTCTTGCTCACTTGAGCCTTCTGCTTCCTAACACTCATAATGATCACTCACTCACTTACTCTCGGTTTTGTCCCATGAGTAAGCTTAGTTGGGTTTACTTAGCCATAAGAACATGTTCTCTCATTGATTTTCTTTTTGTACTCCCCCTCAATTGGAGCACCCGGTATGCTTTGTCATTGTTAGGCACCGGGGAGGATAACATTGAACACCCCCCTAAAATGTTGCATCCTTTGAGAGATTCCTTGCTTTGTCGGTGTAAGGCGCCAGGAGGAGAAAACTGAAACTCTCCCTCAGAATGTGCAAGGAATGATTGCTCACAGCTTGTCATACCTGCCATGTGTGTGGAGCAATCTGAACAAATACCACACATGACGGTGTCCCTAAGCAGAAATTCAGCATATTGATGATCACACAATGTTGATGAGTTAGGGGAGGCTTCAGTAGTTGATTGTTGATTGCCGTAAGATGACCGTTGACGCGAGGTTGATTGAATTATCTACGATTTTCGGACCTCTACAGTGTAGTTTTGAAAAGCTTTTGACCTTTGGCTTCACTTTGAAAGAATTTGAACAGATTTGCCTAAGTTTTGACCTTGACATCGGTGATTTACAAAGTTTGTCGGAAATCGAACGATTTGGCCCTCAAGGACTGCGCGTGAGGGCGCGTGAAAAAGGGTTCTGGGGTAAACCCCTAGAATAAATGTAGATCTTTTCGTTAGCTTTCCAAAAAACATGTTCGCTTAAATCGGATCACCGAGTCAAAAGTTATGGCCAAAACAATGTGATGTCGCTTAAAATCTCGAATTTTGAGATTTTGAGGAATTTCTTCGAAGTTGAGGTTCTCGATGTTGAATATCGAGAACATGTGGGATTAAGGAAAATTCTAAGGCAATACCTCGAAATCCTAATCTTGAGCTTAAACCTCGAGATTGTAATCTCGAGTTTGCCTCGAAGAATAATGGTGAAATCCACCTGCAAAACAGACCTCGAGACCTCGAAATCTTTAGAATTTCAAGTTGTTTGGAACATCGAAAACTTTGGAGTTTCGAAAACCTCATAATATCAAAAACTTGCTGTTTGAAAAACATCAGAACATTGAAAACTTCTAAAAACTTTGATAAGCAGAGATTCATTCAGGTATCCTATAATGTAAAGCTTCGATGAACTGCGAAGAATGTCAAGTTTCGAACAATTCAGAGTTTCAAGAAACTGCAAACTTTGAAATATTCAAAACATCGAGAAATTCCAAAAATCTCGAAATCATTCAAAATGTCGAAATCCTACACATCGAGTTCCCAAAACTCACAATTCCAAAACTCGAAATTTCAAAACTCGAAATTTCAAAACTCGAAGTTTCAAAACTCGAAATTTCAAAACTCGAAATTTCAAAACTCGAAATTTAAAAACTCGAAATTTCAAAAATACGAAGTTTCAAAGCTCGAAATTTCAAAACTCGAAATTTCAAAACTCGAAATTTCAAAATGTCGAGTTTAGGAATTCGAGACCCTAAATGTCGAGTTCTTGCAAAATGAAAACTTCAAATTTTGAAAATCTGAAAATTGTTCTGAATAGCCCTGAAGGTCGAGATTCCTCCTGAATTTGTTTCAAGTCAAAATCGTTCCTGCAGCCATGTAAAAGCATAAACTCGAGATTTCATGTAGAGTTCTTCGAAATTGAAAATTTGCAGAAATCGAAAACAAAGATATGTTGTAGAATCGTTTTGAAGAGGCGATTCCAACAGTATAATTTTTAGAGATTATTGTTCACAAACAAGATTACAGGAGCAAAACTCTATATTGAAGAAAAAGAGAAGAAAAGCAGAGCAGCTCTTCGTTAGATCCAAAAAAATCACAAATAGATTCAACATATTTCACGTCTCGGCTCTGATACCAATTGATAGACTCAGTATGCTAACAATCACACAATCATAGCAGATAAAGAAGAAGAAGCAGATAGAAAGACATGAGATATTCAACGAATCTCGTATACCGTGATAATGGCCGCTGCTCTCCCTCGAGAAGGAGATTAGCGGCAAACCCTAATCACTCTATCTCTGCGCCTCTATTCTCTAAAGCCTCAAAAATCGTTAGGGTTTTCATAAGTTGGCTAACTTATGGATTACAAAGAAGTTAATGGGCTGATACACATTTGTGGTCCATATTATATGTTTAACTAATAACTACACAAATACAAAGATATTTAATTAGATTGGACATCATAAAATATTCATAACACATTTATATTGTTTTTACTGCACGACATTAATGCACGACTTTACTGCACAGCCGGTAATTATCACTGCACTTCCGCCAAAATTAATTCTCTTCATTCACTTCAAGAATTTATTTTTAGTTTTTTTAGATTTAATAATTTTATTATTTTGCGTCTAATTAAATGTCACGCCCCTGACCGCATCCGGACCACGTAGACAACCGTCGTACAACCCGATAAGAACAACAACAGTTCATCCCTATTGAATTGTACAAGGTGTCCGATTGATTCTATTGCCAAACCGATTAGTAAACACATACAATCAACATCAATATCATAATCAAACAAATGCGGAAATAATAATATGTTTGATACTTAGCCACACGTGGCAAACACGGGCACGCAGGCCCGCAACTGTTTTAAAGAAAACATTGTTCGAAAATCCATGAGCAGTTTATAAATTTGAAATAAGAATGGAAGCACGAACCACGTCTTCCTTCTTGATCAATCACCCTAGGCAAAGGTGCAGGTAGTAGGACTCTAGCCTTAACCTGAAAAATGTGAGGGCCCCCGGAGGGGTCAGTACTCCATAGAAGTACTAGTGACAAGCACGCTATATGAAGAATAACTAATGTTTCAGACACGAGACCCAAAAATAGGGTGACACACACACACACACATACACACACACACACACATATATATATGTGTGTGTGTGTGAGAGAGAGAGAGACTCATCCACCCAGTGATTCATACTGTATATATATTTGTAAAATACTCAACCCGTAGGTCATTTCATTTAAAGAGTCTTTTAGAGATAAAGTTCTTACCTGACTTTTCTCACTCCTTTCCCGGATGCCTAGCTCACAAGCTATAGTCTACCTTCGATTCATACTACCGAGTGTTTTAGGATCATTTACCGTCCAAGGCACTCAACCCAACCTAGAGTATTTAGGATCATTTACCGTCCAAGGGAACTCAACCCCAACTGAGTTTCAGGATCATTTACCGTCCTTCGGATGATCAACCCCAACCGAGTTTCAGGAACATTTACCGTCCCGAGGATGCTCAATCCCAACCTTATTCCTTACCAAACCCTAACCTGGATATGGATAACCTTTCATTCCCTTAACTATGGACAATACCTAGCCCTATAGTCATATAAACATCCTTAGTAGCCAACGTGGACGGGTCCCACCTGAATGGCCCACGTTAACCTACTCAAAACTGCTCGTTTTGAGCATAACCCAATACCTGGTCGGGTATCCATCCTTACCCGGTCGGGTAGGGTGAGGCAGTAGCCTCTGGAGCCAATTTTACTTGAGACCCGGTCGGGTCTATACCCATACCCGGTCGGGTCTAGTGTGGCAGTGGCTTCTGGAGCCATTTTTAATCAAAACTCGGTCGGGTATTTACCCATACCCGGTCGGGTATCACCTTTGTCTCGGCGGTCAACGCCCATTTGACCTCCTAAATGAAGTCCGATTAACGTGAAATTTTATATACATGTACTTATTGACGTCCTTGATCCAAAAATACCATTTTGGATCCCTGTAACATCATACATAATAAGTTATCACATTTTTAATCATCAAACCTACATAACATGCTTTTCAACTATGTTTTATGTATAATCATGGTATGAGCAAACACTTGGTTATATTTAATCATTACATAAAACATATCCTTTATTACTTTAGGTAATCTCGTGCCTCATGCAAAAGTTATAAAGCATAAAGCCATCTTCTCACCTTAAATGAAGCTTATGAAGTGCTAGCCTTCCTTAATGAGCTCCGGTGAAACTCCGGCAAACTTCAACGAACTCCGGCGACAATTCCGGTGACCCTTTCAACTCCGTGAAAGTTCCTAGAATACCTTAGACATGTTACTAACAAGGTTTTATCATCATAAAACCCATATTAATACAAATAACCTCTAAAAGGTTATTTTCCGGCGAACCGGTCACTTTGGCTCCTAAGACCGTTCTTGGACTTAGAACTACTTCCAACCCCTCATTCTACACTTTCAAACGTGTAGAACAATCCTAGGGTGTGAAATATGATTTTATAATCATATGAGATGATTTAGGAATAAGATATGGGATAAATGGAGTCATTACCTTGTAAATCTCAACTTTTCCTCCCTATCCTCCCCTCTTCTCTTCTCTTTTCCCTTCCTTCTTCCTCTCCTTGCTTTTGTGCGAAAATGGTGGATGAAAATGGAGTTTTGGAAGACCTTATCTCTCTTCTTTGAGTAGGTTGGCCGAGCTGATTGAGTTGGGATGATTGAGAATAGCCATTTTGGCTTATTCATCAATAATATGGGAGAGGGACCCCCTTTCCTATCACATTTGGCCTCTAGACACTTTCTCCCCTCTTTCCTCATGCCAATGTGCGTCTCCCCTTGATATTTTCCAGACCAAGGACGTGGGTTGGCCCCCACTCATGTGGGAGGTCAACCCTTTGTGTCCCCGAGTGTACAATCGGTCCCGAAAGTTGTATTTTCCAGACTGTTTTAATTACATTTTATTTTATCGGGTCAAATAAAATATAATACATGTTCCGCATCCTTTTTGGACTTTATAATGAATATACATTCCTCAACTTTAAGTTAGAAGTCTCCGAAATTCCTTTTCGGGCTGTTATCTGATAAATTGTCAATACTGATAATTGGGCCCCGTTTGACCAACCGGTCAACCCTATGCCATTGCAATGGCCCAATTAGGATATCCACTACCATATACATATTATCTAGGCCAAGATTAATATAATATGTGGTCCCGAAAGTACCGGGCGGCCCCCACTTCCGGTGTGGGCCCCATGTGAATTTTACTATTCACGTAAAAAAATGATAAAAATTTACAATCACGTAAAAATGTTTTTATTCATTTCTGAGGGTTCAATACATAATTTGATAAGGTACAAATACTTGGGGGCGGTGTTACAAGTTCTACCCCCCTTATTTGGGATTTCGTCCCTGAAATCCACGTGTCTAGCCAAACAGAAATGGATATTGTTCCCTCATCAGGGTCTCCACTTCCCAAGTTTGCTCCTCCACACGATCACTCTTCTAAAGTACTTTTACCATCGGTACCTCTTTGCTCCTTAGCTTCTTTACGTGCCGATCTATGATCTTTACCGGCTGCACCATATAGTGTAGGTCTTCTCGGATTTCCACAGGTGGTTTCTCAAGAATATGTGACGGGTCCCGTACATACTTCTTGAGCATAGAGACATGAAACATGTTATGAATCTTTTCCAACTCTGGAGTCAACTGAAGTCGGTATGCTACGAACCCAATCCTTTCAATGATTTTGAATGGGCCTATGTAACGCGGGTTAAGCTTACCTCGACTGAGGAACCTGATGATCCCTTTCCAAGGTGACACGCTCAGAAATACTTCATCACCGACCTCAAACTCCAACGCCCTCCGACGTTTATCTGCATAGCTCTTCTGCCTGTCTTGGGCAGCCTTGAGTCTATCCTGAATAACCTTTACCTTTTCCTTGGTGATCTCGACTAGCTCGCTGCCCTCAAGCTTAACCTCGCCGACCTCGTCCCAGCACAAAGGTGTCCGACATTTCCTCCCATACAATGCTTCGTATGGAGGCATGCCTATACTCGTCTGGTAACTATTGTTATAGGCGAATTCCACTAAAGCAAACTGATTGTCCCAGCTTCCCTGTAACTCCAAGGCACATGCCCTTAACATGTCCTCCAAAATCTGAATCACCCGTTCAGATTGCACATCCGTTTGAAGATGAAATGCGGTGCTAAACCTCAATTTCGTACCCATGGATTCCTGGAACTTAGGCCAAAACCATGATGTGAACCATGGGTCTTTATCTGATACTATGGTAACCGGAACCCCATGCAGTCTCACAATCTCATCAGTGTACAATTTGGCCAATCGCTCGAGCATATAGGTAGTGTTGATAGGTAGAAAATTAGCACTCTTGGTTAGCCTATCAACCACCACCCATACTGCGTCGTAGTTCCTAACCGTCCGTGGCAGACCCACCACGAAGTCCATGGTAACATGCTCCCACTTCCATTCTGGAATGGTAAGTGGTTGTAGTAGCCCTGCAGGGTGTTGGTGCTCTGCCTTAACCTGTTGACAGGTAAGGCAACGACTCACGAATTCTGCAATCTCTCTCTTCATCCCCGGCCACCTGTAACTTTCTTTCAAGTCCCGATACATCTTTGTACCGCCCGGGTGCATGACATACGCAGATGAGTGAGCCTCCTCAAGGATAGATTTACGGAGCTCCTCATCCGATGGCACACACACTCGTTCCTTGAACATTAGAAGTCCATCTTCTCTCTCACGGAAACCCTCGACGGGCCCCACAAGGGGTTAGGCACACCTTTAATACCAATGACGCAAACCCTTTTGGTGTCTACGCCTCTAGGGGATGACGTTGCACGGAATGACTACTATCCTTCATGTGATGTGGAGATAGGGGAACACCGTCTAACGGGTGACTTTGTACCGTTAGATATGCTTGAGTTTGATGCCATACTTGGCATGGACTGGCTTGAAAAACACCACGCGAAAGTAGATTGCTACACCAAGATGTTAGAACTAAAAGATGAGGAGGGAAATACTCTATGCTTCGAGGGAGATAGAGGAAAATTCAATCCTTGTATCATATCGGCCATAAGAGCAAGGCGTATGATGAGGAAAGGGTGTCAGGCTTACTTATCTTACGTCGTAGGCAAGGAGGGCAAGGGGAAGAGTCTCACAGAGGTGAGGGTGGTGAGTGAGTATCGAGAGGTTTTTCCTGAAGAACTCTCGGGACTCCCACCAGATTGAGAAATTGAGTTCACCATTGAAGTAGAACCCGACACAAAACCCATCTTGATTCCTTCATATCGGATGGCACCGGTTGAACTTCAAGAGTTGAAGGTTCAATTAGAAGAATTACTGGATAGCGGATTCATTAGGCCGAGTCATTCACCATGGGGAGCACCGGTACTCTTTGTAAAGAAGAAAGATGGTACACTTAGAATGTGTATCGACTACCGTCAGTTGAACAAAGTCACAATAAAGAACAAATATCCTTTACCAAGGATTGACAACTTGTTTGATCAGCTACGGGGAGCAACAGTGTTCTCTAAGATCGAATTGAGATTGGGCTACCATCAACTGAAGATCAAGGAGAGTGACATACCCAAAAGTGCATTCCGTACAAGGTATGGTCACTATGAGTTTCTAGTAATGTTTTTTGGGTTTACGAACGCCCCCGCGGCATTCATGGACCTCATGAACCGAGTATTTCACCAATACTTGGACAAGTTCGTCATTGTATTTCACCCCGGAAACCAAGTTATTGACCTCTTATTGTTAAAACGGTACCCTTAACAGTTTGTTGGCCATAATGTTGGACCAAGTGGTGTCTTTTGTACTAATCCGTCAATTAACATTGAAACGAGTCTAATGACTCATTCCTGATTTCTTTCAGAAATGGAGGGCGGACGCAGGATTATTAGGAGGAACCCGACGGGTCGTGCACCGGGGGCCACCGGGCACGATACACGGGCTGAATCACGGACCTCTAGGGGTAGAGGCTGGGGCCAAGTCCGAGGAGGAGGCCGAGGCAGGGGTCGTGGGCGTTCTACTACGCCGACGGCAAGTAGCACGCGTGTCGGTTCTGTGCACCCGTCTTGGGCCACCGAACCGGACGATTTCACATATGCTCCAAGCACGGAGCAAGAGGAGACCCCGTACAATGGGGAGGACTTTGATGAAGAAGATGAGGATGACGATCCTCATTATGATCGTATGAGCGAGGTACTAGAATGGTACCTCGAGAACAAGGCAAGGAGAGAACAGCGGCGCCAAGCTAGGCAGGCTAGGCAGGCCATGGGACAGGGAAGCCGGGGAGCTTCTAGTGCTCCATCTAGAGCATTTGGAGGAGACACGATGGTACGTATCTCCAAGTACCTCAAGGTGGCTAGGGCCTTGGGGTGCAAATCGTTTGATGACAAGGGCGACATCTCTGCGGCCGCCGATTGGATTAAGAAGCTGAATGATGCTTCTAGGGATATGCAAATTGGGCTCGACGTGAAGTTGAGGGTTGCCACCAGGCTACTGGATGGGGTAGCTGCTGTATGGTGGGAAGGCGTGGAAGGAAAGTTCCACGGTGAGGCCACTTGGGAGAAATTCGAAGTGGAGTTCTATAATCAGTACTACTCAACTTTTGAATTCAATCTCAAGAGGAGGGAGTACACAAATCTGAAACAGGAGGATGGCTGCTCGGTGAGGCAGCTGGAACATAGGTTCTGAGACTTGGCACGATTCATACCAGAGTACTCTTTGGATGAGAATCGAATGGCCAATCATTTTTGGGATGCTCTACAGTTGGACATCCACGACCGGGCTACTTATCAGCATAACATGACATTCAGCCAAGTTGTCGATCAAGGGCTCTTTGGGGAAACCCAATGGAATGAAAGGAAGGCGAGAGACGCCGAGGAGGCGAAAAAGAGGAGATGGGGAAACTCTGGACCCCAAGACCACTATCGAAAGCATCACGCCGGGGGTGGAAATACATTTAGGGCGCCGGCACCACCAACAAAAAGGTATAAGGGCTCAGGAGGGCAAGGGCCCAAACCAGGGGGTGTGGGGCCGCCAAGGTGCGCAAACTGCGGTAAGAACCACGGGGGGGGGGGGTGCAATGAACCACCCCGGTGCTTCAAATGCGGTAGCACGAGCCACCTCAAACCCTCTTGTCCAATGTTGAACGGAGGAGGACCATCGGGAGCTATGGGAGGACCTACGACTAGTAGGGGACGTGCGGGGCCGTCTCAGGGCGGCCCAGGTAGGGGCGGACCCACGACTAGCAACGTCGCGTCCGTTAACCAAGGGAGGACCCAGGCACGGGTATATGTTATCACTGAGGCTGATGCTCGGGCCAACCCGGACTCCATTGCAGGTAATCTCTTGATTACACACACATTTTGTTCATGTATTTGAATTAAAAATCTTCAAAAAAATATGAAGGACCCGATCGGGTATCCCTATAGACCCGACCGGGTATAGGCCATGCTTCGATTTTGAAGTATGTACTCGTTTGGGCAAGCGTGGCAGGATCTTTCATTTTTGACACTTCGAGCAATACCCGATCGGGTATGGCCATATACTCGATCAAGTGTGTGTAAAATTTTGGCTTCGAAGTGTGTACTCGATCGAGCGTTGGGGACAGGAAGCGATTTGTTGAAAATTTCGAGTGATACCCGACCGGGTATAGGAATATACCCGACCTGATATTAACATTTTGTTCGAATTCGAGGCATGTACTCGACCGGGCAGGGATAACAGGAAGTCTCTTCAGTAGGGATTCGAGTAATACCCGACCGGGTATAGGGCCTTACCCGACCGGGTATAGGGTATCCCTAGGCTGAAAATTTTTCGTTCGGTCCTTTTCAGTCGGGATGTTGAGTAGT